TGAAAATGATAATGTTATATACTAAAATTTAATACATCGACTTGAATCTTGATAGTGGATTAATAATAAATGTTATCATCACGTTAGAATGTGAGGATTGCTTCGGCTAGCTGAAAGAGGCAAGGTTAACATTTAGCTGTACTCATCTTGAAGACAAGATAACGATTGAAATATTATTTGAAAATAATTTATTTCGGAACTCAAACATTTATTGAAAAATTTGTTACGACAGTCTTATAAGTTGTAGGCCCAGTAAAAACAGAAAACTTGTATTACACCTGCAAATTTTGCTTTTCTTTTTCAGTTATTTAAAAAGAATTAGAATTCAATTGATTTTAGCAACAAAAAATCTTGTAAATTAATTGATCATATATATGTTATATCATAGAAAAAAATTAGCCGGACTATAAAGACTTAAGTCGTATAGAAAGTTTTTTTTTTAGGAGTAATTTGGACAAAAGCAAAATTTTTAAAAGATATTTTCATAAAAACTTAACTCAACGAAACAAAAACCGAAACAATTTGTTTATGAATTAATTAATTTTTTTTTAATTTTCAGACGCGAGCTGAAACTTTGCTTTAGTTCACTTTGCGCATATCTAAGTTCAAATGTATCTTAGGGCTCCTCAGAGCTAAGTTTAAGTTAGACAACCCTTTTCGCTGCTTTCTGCTTTGATGCCTGAAAAAATATTAAGCTCTATGGCTTTAACTTTGAAATACATTTTCGCAATTAAATGATCTTTTATTCATATTTAAAAACTCTACTCCCTTGCTGAATACCTAAAATGTTCTAGTTGCTTTTACCTAAGCAACCGCAATGAGGAAATCTTAAAAGTGTTGCCTTCTTTCGAGCGCCCTAGAAAAGCCCCAACTAAAACGAAAACATTCATTGATAAAACTTGCCTTGGAAAGGGGTATGGGGCGTCAAGTGTTGGTAGCGTGCGTGGAAAATTGTTTATAAACAAACTACATGTGTGTAAAGTGTTTGTAAAATTGAGAATGAAACGGCGAGACAAAGAGAGAGAGAGAGAAGCCTACCTCGAGGGAGAGGCAGAATGTGCGATTACTAAGAACTGTTGTGGCTGACTTTGTGGTCTTCGATGTTATTGTAGTTGTTTTTATGGTTGTTATTGCAGTTGTTGCTGCTGTAGCTGCAATCGTTATGATTATTGTCGTCCCCACAGCGGGTGCATTGATCCGTGGACTATCTGCGACAATAACATTGAGGCTGTAATTGGGGCTGCTGCGTGTAAGCAAATTTGTGTATGCGTGTGCGTGTGTGAGTGTGTAAGTGTGTGTAAGTGTGTGTGGGTGTATGAGTGTATCTCTGCTATGCAAACGATCAATATGGAATTTTTCTCGGCTTCAGCTGAATGAACTCAATAATTTTGATTTTATCGCTGCGATAAGTATCATTTTAGGCTGTAATAAGGTCTAAAATTGAGGTAGGTTATTTGTGGCCTACGTGACAAACCGTACAGGTAAGTCAAGTAGAGTAACCAATGCCAGAGTGTACCTGGAACCATCGACCACCTTTTGACATTGACCCGCTTAATGCTCTATGTATATGTATATATGAATATGGATATATATAGGGATATAACCTGTTTTCATATTGAGACTGTTGGGACTCACCCGCTGCGCAGTAGTTGGACGCCTTTGAACAACATTTCCACTTTTGTTTTCCCTTTTCCTTGTCGCCTTTCACTTTTTGCTCGTTTTTCTTCTTTTTTCGCTCAGCTGTTGCTGCTGCCAATTGAATTGCGTTTAATGAATTTATTTCGTAGTTTAATGTGATCAATTTGCGAATGTCTTAATGCGAATTTATATTTAAATAAAACTGCAGCAAAGCTAATTGAAGAGACGTGGTGTGTTTTTAGCTCTGGCAATTTTTCTTTGCTCCCTTCTCTGTCTTTCTCTGTCTCTCTCTCTCTGTCTTTCTCTCGCTCTACGCGTGGCACTTGTTGCGCTTCAGCAACTATTGATGCTGCTGCTGCTGCTGGTGCTGCTGCTGCCGGGGCACTTGTTGCTGCCTTCGCACAACAAACGAAACTGAAACTCTACGTCAGCCTGTGCGCTTAAGTAACAGATGTACTACACATTATTCAGAGTATTTGTACACACATTTGAGTCGACCATTGCTCTGTGTCTGTGTGTGCTTCATTTTATTTTACGCTCTTTCTGTGTTTTTGTGTTTTTTTATGCAGCGCCCGCTGGCTGATAAGATAAGAGCCATGCCCACATCGCCTGCCGATTGTCATGTACGTGCCGCCCACCGCATGCACCAGACGCCGCGCCTCCTGCTGCCATATTACTTCAGCCAGCACAGTTGAACTCAGCTGTTGCCACACACCCACAGAGCCACACACTCACAGTCAATAAAACTCTACTGCCCCAGCGCCAAATGTTTCCGAATGTTTCCTTATCAATGGATTTGGCCTGTGGCCTAAGAGGCGTCTGCCCCGCTTACATCATTCATCAGCCGACCAGAGCCAGCAGCAGCAGCAACCGCGGCAGCTTATCTTTTATTTGTGGCTTTGATTTCACATACCCTGTAAGACAAGCCAGAGAGGCGATATTAGTAGCTTCAACTTGTACAATTTTAAAGAAGAATAGCGAAGGTTATAAAAATAAAAATATAAAATTGATTGCTATTACCCTTTACTAAGACCCTAAACAAGGGACAAAGACGAAGTCAACTACTTATCTAACTTTTATATACTACAGCAGTCGTTTTGCAAAGGGTATTTTTACACACCAATAATAACGATCTAAAAATTATATTTAAACCTTTTATCCGAAAGCCTACAGCAAATCTCCCTATGCTTACACCTAAGTGTAAGCATAGGGTGTCTGCTGGCCGTTCACTAAAAAGAGAAATTTATTTGCTATATTTGGTTTTAATTACTGAATATTCAAATGTTTGTGCTTGTTGTTTGCAGAAGGAAGACAACATAGACATTATACCTTTTAATCGGAAGCTATAGAGGTATTTAAGATGTCACAGGAACTAGAGATTTCTAACTAATAGCTTGTGAACAAATATTATTATTATACGTATGTATAAATACATATATATTTCTTAAGATTTTCGAAATATTTGATTTCTTTACTTCTGTCTTTATATGCTATTAATGTCAAGTCCTTGAAATGCTCAAATAATGTATAAGAGTTACTCCCCTTTCAACTTTTATTGAAACACACTAAGTAAAAACATGTCTACAGTTCATATATATATATATAAATATATATATGTTATCACTCTGTCACTTTTAGTTGAGTACAGAGCATTAGCTAGTCGATAGTTTGTGCTAAGCAGACCTTTTCTTGTGTTAACATACGTCAAACTTATCAATTGATCAATATCGAGAATGTTTATTGTTGTTATTTTCGCTTGCATATGGCATTCTTCGGTTGCCCCAATGTCACATTTAATCGACTTGATAATCATAATTTTTACCATGAGAGCTGCCTCCATTGACTGAACTATGGTCACACACGCTGCACTTGCATAATGAGCTGTTGAATATGAGAGCGATAGAGCGGGAGAGAGACAGAGTCAGTTAGAGTCAAAAGGAGAAAGAGAGAAGTAGATTGTTGATGACTTATCAAATGCTGATTTTGCAGCACTGCAAAAAACCACCTGCAAATTTTGCTTTTCTTTTTCAGTTATTTAAAAAGAATTAGAATTCAATTGATTTTAGCAACAAAAAATCTTGTAAATTAATTGATCATATATATGTTATATCATAGAAAAAAATTAGCCGGACTATAAAGACTTAAGTCGTATAGAAAGTTTTTTTTTTAGGAGTAATTTGGACAAAAGCAAAATTTTTAAAAGATATTTTCATAAAAACTTAACTCAACGAAACAAAAACCGAAACAATTTGTTTATGAATTAATTAATTTTTTTTTAATTTTCAGACGCGAGCTGAAACTTTGCTTTAGTTCACTTTGCGCATATCTAAGTTCAAATGTATCTTAGGGCTCCTCAGAGCTAAGTTTAAGTTAGACAACCCTTTTCGCTGCTTTCTGCTTTGATGCCTGAAAAAATATTAAGCTCTATGGCTTTAACTTTGAAATACATTTTCGCAATTAAATGATCTTTTATTCATATTTAAAAACTCTACTCCCTTGCTGAATACCTAAAATGTTCTAGTTGCTTTTACCTAAGCAACCGCAATGAGGAAATCTTAAAAGTGTTGCCTTCTTTCGAGCGCCCTAGAAAAGCCCCAACTAAAACGAAAACATTCATTGATAAAACTTGCCTTGGAAAGGGGTATGGGGCGTCAAGTGTTGGTAGCGTGCGTGGAAAATTGTTTATAAACAAACTACATGTGTGTAAAGTGTTTGTAAAATTGAGAATGAAACGGCGAGACAAAGAGAGAGAGAGAGAAGCCTACCTCGAGGGAGAGGCAGAATGTGCGATTACTAAGAACTGTTGTGGCTGACTTTGTGGTCTTCGATGTTATTGTAGTTGTTTTTATGGTTGTTATTGCAGTTGTTGCTGCTGTAGCTGCAATCGTTATGATTATTGTCGTCCCCACAGCGGGTGCATTGATCCGTGGACTATCTGCGACAATAACATTGAGGCTGTAATTGGGGCTGCTGCGTGTAAGCAAATTTGTGTATGCGTGTGCGTGTGTGAGTGTGTAAGTGTGTGTAAGTGTGTGTGGGTGTATGAGTGTATCTCTGCTATGCAAACGATCAATATGGAATTTTTCTCGGCTTCAGCTGAATGAACTCAATAATTTTGATTTTATCGCTGCGATAAGTATCATTTTAGGCTGTAATAAGGTCTAAAATTGAGGTAGGTTATTTGTGGCCTACGTGACAAACCGTACAGGTAAGTCAAGTAGAGTAACCAATGCCAGAGTGTACCTGGAACCATCGACCACCTTTTGACATTGACCCGCTTAATGCTCTATGTATATGTATATATGAATATGGATATATATAGGGATATAACCTGTTTTCATATTGAGACTGTTGGGACTCACCCGCTGCGCAGTAGTTGGACGCCTTTGAACAACATTTCCACTTTTGTTTTCCCTTTTCCTTGTCGCCTTTCACTTTTTGCTCGTTTTTCTTCTTTTTTCGCTCAGCTGTTGCTGCTGCCAATTGAATTGCGTTTAATGAATTTATTTCGTAGTTTAATGTGATCAATTTGCGAATGTCTTAATGCGAATTTATATTTAAATAAAACTGCAGCAAAGCTAATTGAAGAGACGTGGTGTGTTTTTAGCTCTGGCAATTTTTCTTTGCTCCCTTCTCTGTCTTTCTCTGTCTCTCTCTCTCTGTCTTTCTCTCGCTCTACGCGTGGCACTTGTTGCGCTTCAGCAACTATTGATGCTGCTGCTGCTGCTGGTGCTGCTGCTGCCGGGGCACTTGTTGCTGCCTTCGCACAACAAACGAAACTGAAACTCTACGTCAGCCTGTGCGCTTAAGTAACAGATGTACTACACATTATTCAGAGTATTTGTACACACATTTGAGTCGACCATTGCTCTGTGTCTGTGTGTGCTTCATTTTATTTTACGCTCTTTCTGTGTTTTTGTGTTTTTTTATGCAGCGCCCGCTGGCTGATAAGATAAGAGCCATGCCCACATCGCCTGCCGATTGTCATGTACGTGCCGCCCACCGCATGCACCAGACGCCGCGCCTCCTGCTGCCATATTACTTCAGCCAGCACAGTTGAACTCAGCTGTTGCCACACACCCACAGAGCCACACACTCACAGTCAATAAAACTCTACTGCCCCAGCGCCAAATGTTTCCGAATGTTTCCTTATCAATGGATTTGGCCTGTGGCCTAAGAGGCGTCTGCCCCGCTTACATCATTCATCAGCCGACCAGAGCCAGCAGCAGCAGCAACCGCAGCAGCTTATCTTTTATTTGTGGCTTTGATTTCACATACCCTGTAAGACAAGCCAGAGAGGCGATATTAGTAGCTTCAACTTGTACAATTTTAAAGAAGAATAGCGAAGGTTATAAAAATAAAAATATAAAATTGATTGCTATTACCCTTTACTAAGACCCTAAACAAGGGACAAAGACGAAGTCAACTACTTATCTAACTTTTATATACTACAGCAGTCGTTTTGCAAAGGGTATTTTTACACACCAATAATAACGATCTAAAAATTATATTTAAACCTTTTATCCGAAAGCCTACAGCAAATCTCCCTATGCTTACACCTAAGTGTAAGCATAGGGTGTCTGCTGGCCGTTCACTAAAAAGAGAAATTTATTTGCTATATTTGGTTTTAATTACTGAATATTCAAATGTTTGTGCTTGTTGTTTGCAGAAGGAAGACAACATAGACATTATACCTTTTAATCGGAAGCTATAGAGGTATTTAAGATGTCACAGGAACTAGAGATTTCTAACTAATAGCTTGTGAACAAATATTATTATTATACGTATGTATAAATACATATATATTTCTTAAGATTTTCGAAATATTTGATTTCTTTACTTCTGTCTTTATATGCTATTAATGTCAAGTCCTTGAAATGCTCAAATAATGTATAAGAGTTACTCCCCTTTCAACTTTTATTGAAACACACTAAGTAAAAACATGTCTACAGTTCATATATATATATATAAATATATATATGTTATCACTCTGTCACTTTTAGTTGAGTACAGAGCATTAGCTAGTCGATAGTTTGTGCTAAGCAGACCTTTTCTTGTGTTAACATACGTCAAACTTATCAATTGATCAATATCGAGAATGTTTATTGTTGTTATTTTCGCTTGCATATGGCATTCTTCGGTTGCCCCAATGTCACATTTAATCGACTTGATAATCATAATTTTTACCATGAGAGCTGCCTCCATTGACTGAACTATGGTCACACACGCTGCACTTGCATAATGAGCTGTTGAATATGAGAGCGATAGAGCGGGAGAGAGACAGAGTCAGTTAGAGTCAAAAGGAGAAAGAGAGAAGTAGATTGTTGATGACTTATCAAATGCTGATTTTGCAGCACTGCAAAAAACCAACTCAACCAAAACGAAACTTGAACCCAGGCGATAAGCCTAATCTGCAAATGAGAGTCTTTTTCAGCTTTTGGCAAGCTTTACTCTCAGTGCAAAATGCTTGTGGGAATTGTAGTAAATAAAAAACAGAATAATTTTATGAATAGATGGAAGAGATGTCCATAAATGACATAATGAAGACCCAGAAGAACAATTTCAAAACAACTTATGCACATTTCTCACTTTTATCCAAATGTTGGTATCGAATAATAGAACTGAAAAAGGTTTTTATAGAACAGGTGATGAAATAAATGATTTTTACTCAAAGCATGCAAAAGCCCCGAATTGTTCAGATCCATTCAAATAAAAAATCATTTAGTTTTTGCTGTTTTTCTTGAACTTAACGCACTATTTATTTATATATCTTTGTTTAATAATAATTACCTGCGTATATCATAATAATGTTTCACATAAGTAATTTCACTTTACGTTTTAAATACAATCAAATTTACACGAGTCCATTTTGTTCGCATACATACATATACATATACATATATGTATATAATAATATGCATATACATATATGGTTTAGTTCTCTTAAGCACTACGACATTAATTGATATACAATATATATATATATAATATATTTATAGTATGTTTGAGTTAAGAATTAGTTGTGAATTAACTATACAATAATATTTTGGTTTCGGTTAACGGTTTGCGAGGATATGATCTGATGGCTCTTAACTGTGGCATTATACGTACTCCTTATCTTTGTTTTGCTGTGGAGCGTTATAGGTTTATAACACTTATGAGTACCTTATCTGTAAAACATTTAAATTGGATTTTTCTGGGCTCTAAGTATGTCAACAGATTTCATATACTTAGCTCTATATATATATATTTATACATATATAGGCTGTTCTTTAATTCAGCGATACCCTTTCTCTGCTCTTGTTATATGCATCTATAAGCTTATCAACTAACTCAACTAACCCAACGACCTGTGTCATCGCAAAGGTACATTAATCGAACTTTTAGATGGGTTTACCATCCTGCTACGATTTATACAGACTGCAAACGGAAATTTGTGTTCTGTTCTATTTGTTATCAAGTATGTTTTTTAAATCTTTCTTCGAAAAATTGTAAATCATAAAAATCTCTGTATAAAGTTGCGCTTCCATCGAAGTCCAGTTCTGTCCAGTTCATCATCATATCATAAGTATTCCCTATTTTTATATTTTTTTGCTTTATTGTCTTCAACGTTTGCCGTTTACGAGTACTAGTACTGAAAATGTCCTTTTTTTTTGATTCTTCGTATGTTGCTTGATCCGAAATCTAGAGTTTTTAATTATTTTCTTTCTTTGCTTGCTATGGATTCTGTGGATTCTTTTCTAATAAAAACCTGTTGCAGTCCTTTTGCGGAAACCGAATTTGGAAATTGGAATTGGTGTTTTTTTATAGGATCTGCTAAACTGAACTTAGGTGAGTGATTGATTAGATCAGGTCAGATCAGAGAGCTTAATACCATCTTAAAAATTACCCATATATAATTATTCATAACGTTTATTTCTCTTTCGTAATTCTTCATTCGCTTGTAATAGAATTTTACAACCACTAAAACTATTCACAGCAGTTTATTTTTTGTGTTTGTGTAAGAAAATACTTCCAGTGTCTGAATGTCTGGGCAGAAAATATTGGGAATTAACTAATTCACGGTTAAATAGAAGCAAGTGGCTGTAGACAGTGTTGAACAACGTAACAAATGATATTTGCTTAGACTATAATTCGAGGATATTATTTAGAATATCACACATGCTATGCTCCTATTTTGTTTTGTTGTTCGTTTTGAGTTGTCTGTAAGTGTGTTTAGCTTGAAGTATATTTTTGGTATTTCTTTTAAGTATTTTTTTTATTTGCAGTTAACAACTGAACTAGTATTTTCATTAATATTTCAACGTGATTAACTTATGCTTCACATTTTAATTAATTCTTATTATTATTACAATACTTTTGCATTATTCATATACATATTTAATTTTGTATATTTCATCTGTGTAGAGCTAAACTGAATACATATATATAAATATATATTTAGATTCTGTTTTGTTGTTGGGCATGATAAGTTGAACTTGAAACTGAATGCTACTAGGTAAATAAAAAATAATGAGTTATACTCGTGGAAATGCGTTTGGTTAAAAGTTTCTTTGGGATTACACTACGAAAAGCGTTTAGCAATTAAAAGTTCTCATGGCTAGGCAGGGCATACAACTCGGTTATATATAGAATATAGAATATTTATATTTAGGGATTTATAAAGTTAACAGTTAACGCCTAAAAACAGTTTAACTAAATGCTACAGCAACAGAAATGGCAAAAGTATTTATGTTGTTTTTTAACTCTCTTCAAAAACCCGTTTTTAGTTCAATTGTAGCTCATTGTACATAGTTTAGTTGTGTGTGTGTGTGTGTGTGTGTGCGTGCGTGTGTGTGTGTAGGTGTGTATTAAAATGTTATTTTAACAATTTTGTGTTTTACATATTTCTTAAACTTGTTATATAATAATTTACTTTAAGTTTTTCGACTTAATCTTAAGTTTTTTAAATATAAATTTTGTTAAAATACTTAGTGTAAATATATAAATGGTTTTTTGCGCTATCTTCGCAATATATATATATTTAGCATATTTCTATATATATATTTGTTATAGGTATTCCTTTGACATGAACCCTATTTTTGAAGGTGTTGGCTTACCCTGGCCACACTTGCTTCTCTACACATCGTAGGCGTTCTTTTTGTAGTTCTGCTTTCTGCTTGTTGGCACATTTAGATGATTTCCGCCCAGTTTCTTGAGGGGCGTGGCTGCATTTAATGTTGTCGAACGCATCATCATCATACGCATGGTCATGGGCTTATCCTCCTCGTCATCGTCAGAGAAATCGCTCTGGGTTTTCACATGGCCGCCCAATGCGGGCCCACTAAAGTCATTATCATCGTCCTCATCATCGTCCTCCTATTGCAAAAAACATACTTTATTAAAACAGTTCAATATAACATATTTAAGAGTATATCTTAAAACCAAAAAGATCTATAAATAAGATATATATTTATGTTCAGCTTGTTTGTTATTAAACACAAAACATATGGACTCGCGGCGTATGCGCAATATCACAAAGCTGCAAGCCGACGGCAAAAGCTCTCGCAAACAACCAACAGAGGGCGCTGCACGCGCAGCGCCTGCTGTGGCAGTTTTATTTACTAAGAAACAATAACAGAACTTTAGTACAAAATATACTACAATTTTTAACAAACAACAATAAAACAATAGGAACATTTTGGGAGTAATTGGATTTACATGATTTTTGGTGTCTTAAACCAACAATTTGTACTTTACCTTCTGGAATTGCAATTCTGAACCGTCTTCTTAGCCAATCGAAAATAT